TATTATTTATTTACAATACATATATATTTTATGTTCTAGAACTACAACTGATTTCGGTTACTCTTAATACATTTACTTCGCCTAAGGTAATTGGGAAATCCCTTCACGAAGAGATGGTGGTTTCGCGTTTTCCAATAACGTCTTCGAGTGTTTTAAAGTGTGTATCAAACGGATGATTTTGAGCACTATGAAATGAATGGTTACCCAAAATAAAGATTACAGGTAACTTTCCTTTTCTATATCAGGCCGTTCACGGAATAAGCGACTTTTTGCTTACTCTCACTCGGAATGAATTAAAACTTTTAGAGGTCCTAAGCATTTATAAGACTTTGGGGACCCCCACATAGTTACATTTGTTTTTTCCCATTCCTGCTTTCTCGGTATTGGTTTAGTTGCACCTTACATTCCATGATAAAATCGGCAATGGAAAACCTTTGTGCTCCCCCTTGGTTCCTTAAGCACCTTTTCGTGATGCTGTGTTCTTTTCATGCCCTTAAGCTCATTTTGTTTCATGGTTAATCCAGCTCTACTTTCCCCGTATGCAGCCATACTTATGATGACGCAGTATCGCCTACCTGATAAAAACGAAAGATTCTGGGTTTAGGCAAGCCTGTGTTACTCTTTTTGGCTCTCAAAATCCACTTTTATTATTATGAGGGAAATCAGTACTGATTCTGAGGAATTATAGCACGAAACTGGGACTCTCAGGTCAGATAAAACTAGGCAATAACTGGGTCCTAATTACCTGCCTAGTTTCATTGCAGATATACTGTTTGCTTCTCGTTCATGTTTATCCCTCAAACACTCCAATCTCTATTTGACTTATAGTCCAAAGTATTTTTCTTCTGGTAATAGGACTACCTTCTTCGTAAACAAAATAAATCATACCTTAACTTCAGGTACTGTCTCCTTCCAGATAGGAAGCGAAAAAAATACAGTGTCTAACTTGCTGATTACTGAACGATTCAATGATAAATGTTCTTTTCCGAGGCCACGAAGGCAGGTACAGGCAGTACAATATCCCCATGCTACATGGAAATTACACACGTATAAACATCTATTCCTTGTATGAGATTCGAACGCAGGCCCATCGATACTAACATAATTAATGTCACTAACTATTACATTGGCTGGCTGGCATTGAGCATAGAAGCTAGACAAATAAAAGAAAGAAAATATTGTTCTTGAGAACTTGGGCAACTAAGGTATCTAAAAGTCAAAATGTTCGTTCAAATGCCCTTTCTGAGGCGGAAGGTGTAAAATTCTTGGAAGTTAAGCCTATCAGCACTGCATTATGGCGTTTGTGAATTGCTGGAAATGATCTTTTATGGCATTAATACCGGGGACAACGTGGACCCAACTACACTTTTTGAAAGAAAGCTAATTGTTGAAAGATTATATTATGAACGTAAAATTATTAATATTTAATAAAATTATACACATTGAGTGACGTTAGACTTGACAAATATCCAGTCCGAATCTTGATATATAGAAGAATATCTCTGATCCTGGTCCTACAATGTCTATTCTTCATTATGTATTTTTTAAATGGAATTAGATTATCTCAATGTTTTATCAGATGTTTATTCTCTGTCAGATAAAAATAAAAAATGTACTAATCTGGGTCACCCTTTTCCCCACATACGCATAAATCCGTGGGGCACATGCCTCTGTCATGGAAGTAGGCGGGGGGAAAGATCGCACCCTTTGATAAATTAATTCACTACGTGGTCATAGTAAAGTGCCTCTTTGTTGATTTTCGGGAAGAATTTGTGAAATCTTCTGCACTGCAGTGCTGAATCCCATTCTTGTTGCCACTTTGATTCAACGATTGCATCTAGGGTAAATTTTATGACTTGGATCACCTCACTGCTGATATTAGTTAGTAGCATCCTTAGCAAAGATAACAGCCGCTTTGTTGTCGTTGTTCCCACTCTGAGCCTTCACCATAGGGAGAAAAAAAATTATTTCTGGGTGAGCGCTTACGGTGAAGGCAGCAGTTCCAGTTTCATAACGGTTTTTCCTTTAGTGGTTGTATCTCGTTACCCGACTCCTCGTCATCTAACGTCTGCACACTAATATCAGAACTCTGTGACATCTAATACTAACTGCAATACCGTTGGGCCCGGGTTCGAATCTTGGAGACGGTATTTATGTTTATACGTGTGTAATGGTCGTGTAGCATGGAGGCATTTAAAATACGCTGCGATCAGAAAATCCCCTCGAGAGCTTGGTAGTAAGGAAGAGGGGTGATAGATTCTCGAACTGTCCGCTGACGTGTTCTTCCTCAAAATTGGGGCGGAAGCTTAATAGTTAGCTATAGCTAAATTCAGCAATACCTCAATCAGTTGTGGTATTACAAAGGTGCTGGCCGGCTTCTGCCTGTACCTGCCTTTATGAAAGCAGTATGCATCATTGAGTCGTTCAGTAAGCAGCAAGTTAGACACTGTATTCTTTTCGCTTCCTATGATACGGCAGATTTGAATCTGATGCTATTAGTTTGCGTATCTGTCACCAGGACGAAATTGCTGGTAGCTTTCAGGATTCCAAACTCTGCTTACGTTGCAGCTAAATAATTTATAGTTCCATCACTTTTATTTTCACAATCATAAATTTTGTTTTCACAATTGTATTTATATTTAGTATTTGCTAATTTTAATACCAAATGCCATCTAAGGATGCCATCTAAGAGACCGAGGAATGTAGTTGATGGTGTTAGTAAGCGCAAGCATAATTAATTGTCTGAACTTACGAAAGTTGAGGTTAAGGAAGAAAAGAACGCCCGTAGAGATATGTGAGTATTTTCGAGTCAAATTGTCAATTATGCGTACGTAAGTTTCCTGCTGAAAATGAAATTCTTAGAAGTTCTAAAGCTACTGAATGTTGTTTTGAATCTTTAATGTGTACATGATTTCCTGCTTTAGCTTCTAACATTATGATCATTCTAACCTGTATGTGGAATGACCTGGTTAGTTTAGGTGTAAGATATAAAATTCAATATATAATTTTAAAACATCCGGTAAATAAGGTCATTAGGGGCTAATTTCTGTTTTCAGCCGTTTTTTGGCCATTTTCAGCCATTTTTTCTGTTTTTAGTCAATTTGGCAAGGGCCAGATCCCAAGGTTATGGGAGTTAACAGGTACAACTATTACTGCGAAACTTCATTGTGGTGGCTATAAGATCCGACCATAAATTAAAGTTATATATGAGTGACTATAGGGACCACGAATTAATTTGTTCACCTAATAATTACACACTACAGTTAAGCTGATATTTGTTCAGAAAAATTGTCCTATACAGTTGACCCTTGAAATACGCAGGAGCTTGGGAAATTGACATAGAGTGTGAGAGCAATCCTAAAACAAATGTTTACTATCTTAAAACATAATTATCATTATCATTTTATTGATTATAAGCCATTATACTGACTATAGCAACGAATTAATATATATTTCTATACTGTATGTAATACAATCTGTATTCTTGTATTAAACTAAACTAGTATAAAGAAAAAAAAATGAAGAAATACAACAATGTATACGACTGTGTTATGTATTTGTCAACAGTATCGTTAGTTCAAGTGGTCTCTTTACAAAATGAATCGTACTGTCTGTCGTAGTTTATACATTGGAACCTTGAATACCCGTCAGTTCTGGGATTATAGTCGTGAACGGATAGGACAGACGGATAATATAAACAACACCTCCTACGCTTACTACCTGATACTTTCAATCAATAATGAAAATCTTCCCCTCCCTTGTCATAGCAGTACGTTTATATAATATGGACAAAAATAAAAATTAGAATCGAAAATTGGTCACATTTAGCTTGCTTGTTATTATGCATAGAAAAATACGACATTAAAAAAAATCCAAAATAGTCATTAGCAATGACAAAGTAAATATCAAATATCTTTTATTTTTGAAGAAGGCATTAATTTTATCTTAGTTTAAAATAAAATTTGGTACAGTAATTTTTTTACCTGTAGCAGTAGCGAGAATGTAGTGAATATAAAAATGCAATATATGATCTTCTCATAGCATGAAGTTTTACAAACTGTCCTGTAAATATTTCAGAAAGAATATGGTATGCCTTCATTACAGAACCCGATCAAGACTATCTGAGGCTCTATGGAAAATTATTTCAGAGACTCCCAAAGTCAACGCTTTCTCTTTCCCAAGAGCAGAACAGGATTATCAAGAAATATAGGATAATTCTGGGGCTCCAGGACAAGGGCTTTTTGACCTATAAGGAACAACTTACGATTTATTTTATAGTTCTATATGGTCTAATTTGAATAAAGATTTATTTTGTTATTGTTTTGTTTTTCTATTTATTTTCTGTCTTTTTTTTTTCCGGTGAATTCTTTCTCTTTATTGGACTGTTTCAGTGGCACACGGGCGAAAAGAAATTGATATTTGAAAGAGTTAGGTTAAAAACTACGAAGGCTATTTGCCTAAGGAGTGTCTTTGTGAGGACTGAGAAGACTGGCTTATATTCACGTTTTTACGCATGGGAAACCTACCATGCAGCCTTGGATTGAATACAAACTAGGTCGAACTCCCAGTATTCAGCGGTCTTCAGATATTGGCCACTGGTGGGACGATAGTTAAAAGGTAATGCAGTGGCGATAGTTAAAAAGTGGGGCGTTAATGAATTCATAATTTTTCCTCCCTCTTAAAAACGTTTCACATTTGCAAGCTGTTTTTTTCCCTCCGACAAATTGTTGTAAAATTACCAAAAATTGTTCCATAACTTTTCTGGAATCTATGGAACATATTCACCTATAAGCGGACCTATGTACTTCAAAGGTCAACTGCATACTGTAAGAAATTGGACAAAATATTCAGAATCCCTTACTAAAAAGTTTCCATTCCCGGATGGTTTTTAACTTAGTGGAAGTTTATAGACACTAATTCGTACTAGTATGTATTCAGAAACTTAAAGTTCATATTGTGAAAAAAATTCTTCATGCAGACAAATGAGTCAAAAGACATACTATTTTGTAGCTAGAATAGCGGACATGGGGGGAGATTGCAGTAACTCCTCTCAACCTTAGGGCCACAGGCGGCACCGTTGTTCTTCGGGGCTACCTTCACGGTCTTTGTTCGACGACGTGACCCTCCTTCACCGCAAGTCTTCGTACATGGTGTCCACTCTGACCATGGATTCAGCTGGCAGTCGACAGCTGTTTAAAAATTATTTACCAAATAAGTAATTTTCGCAATTTGGTTTAGATTTCACTTCGCACTTTAAAAGGGGAAAAACTTTCATAAGTGAATCCGCTCAAGTCCACACAGAAGAGAATACAGGATATTGGATAGTAATTTTGAACCAGTTAACTGTTTTCTATAAACTTAAAGTGAAAATGCAAGGTTTAAGTTATTTGTTATTTTTGTTGCATACGATTGGAGGGAGGGCGGTTTATTTCGAACTTTAGTTCTCATTTTGAAAGTAAACTAAAATTACTTTTGCTTAAGTTATATTCTTTTATCATTTGGCGACTTTTCCAAACTTATTTAAATATTTTTGGTACACAGCTAAAATTCGTTTTGCTCGGAAAATATTCATCTCCATCCTGCATTATAGCATTAACTGAAACTGATATTTCAAAGGACATATTACTTATACAAGTACAGGGCTGTCACCTAATTGGCCAGCAATATCAGCTTTGAAATACGCTCCATTTTCGGAAGTGTGATGTACACAAGTTTTGAATCACTTTATAATACTGTGTTGGAGTCACCCTTGCAAGGTAAAACCGGAAGTGAATTGAAATCTCCGAAAATAATAAAGGGATATTTTTAGGTAGATTCCTGAGAATCTTTGAGAACCTAGAAATCACTTTCTGATTTTGAAATCTCTAGGGGAAATACCAGAAGCTCTTCTTAAATGAATTTAGAAACTTAATTTAAACCTTGCTGATCGGAATGGTTAGATTCTTATTACCGCCAAGGATTTCTCTATCTTTTTTTCTGCTTCTGTAGGAAAACAAAGAGGCAGTATTTTCAGCACTACTTTACTTGGAGTCTTCTGCTCTCTCAAAGTCTTTTACACGCACACAATCTTGAAACCAAGTTTACTGTACTACAAGATTTACTTTTACATGACGTCAATATATTAGTCTGCTAAAAAGCGACTATTCCATACTCACTTTGTCTTCATTTTTTCTACCTCTTGGCGTCATCGAACTCGAGTATTAAAAAACAGCTAAATTTTGTTTGGCTCCTTTTAGCACTTGAGTTTGATGCAATATCCTTGTTTGGAACCATGTGTTAAAGCGTAAATGAAGAGAATGACAACATAATGCTCCAAACTGCCACTACCATTCTGTGCAAATAAACACCTCAGATCGTTCAAAGTAGCTTTTGGTCTACGATAGATAATTGGTGGGAGACTCTGATTTCCAGTTTTGGAAGAAAAATCTATTAGCTTTTGAACAGGTTTGTCAACTATTTCTGTAAGTTGATTAATTCGTCTGGGTAATCTGTAACTACATTTTAGCACCGGTAAATCTGGAATGGCGCGATGCAAAGGCGCGTCCGTCTTTTCCTTTTCATTAGTTCCAGTTTCACTGGAACAACATTCTTGCTGTTTCCCCTCCAACCATTTTAATTGCTAATGGTAATATTTTTGGGGTGCCTATTCCTGTTATTAAAAGGGTCACTAGTTTACTAAGTTCACATCACTAGGTTTCCTTCAAAGACAAACAGCCGAAAAACCTTCTGTGGCACTACAGTAATATTGCATCTGTAACTCTTTTCTAAGGAAACTTCTTTGGCTACGTTACGAGGTCAAAACTGCCAGCGAAGTTGTCAACCCTGACTTTTAAGACATTTCAGCTCAATGAGCATCGTATTTCCTTATTTATCATCATTTGTAACAAAGAAGGCTTTCGGGCTCAGGACGTCAACAGTAGCAGAAATATCCCTACAACTGATTACGTAATGAATAGTGATCTTAGGTAAGAAATATAAGACAGAAGCGAGTGAAAATAGCACCCCCTAGGTAACCCTAGGTTCTAGGAAGTGTTGGTGAAAACCATACTAATATCAACGTTATTATACCATTGAAATATGTCATACAGCGTAATCTGAAACTATTATTGGTTGGATTCTATGCTGTAAACAAGCGCAAGCGGCTTAATCTAAATTTTCCATGAACGGAATTTGTGTACTTCAATAGATGACTAGCAATAATAATAATGATAATAATAAACACCTAAATTTTTTGTGGTAATATTGCAGAAGCAACTAACGTTTCAGTTACGGGGATATGCAGCATGGACAGCAAAATAGTTTAATATCTCTTGCCTATTACGAAAAGTACATTTCCAAGACTGATAAAGTTGGGTTACCGTAAAAAAATGATATAATCAAACTTTAAATTTCGTAAGTAAAAGCGTATAGCAGAAAAGTTATCAAGGAACAATTACGACTCTTATATATGCCATTAAAAATGTATAGGAAAACGAGAAATCCAATTTTAATATTGAAAATATATATACTTTACTACAGAAATATGCTTTACAAATAGTAAAGAAATTCGCTTCAAGAAGGACATCCAGACTTTTCTGTTATATTCCTAAATATTGTCGAAAGAAAAGCCTGAATGATCTCCGATATTTCCCAGGAAGAATTTTAAAATTGGGACGGAAAGAGTTTTTTCCACAAACGAAAAATTCTACTTTTGATTTATAAACGTAACATGTATACTAATGAACAAAGTTTTAGCCAAATTGTTGAAACAGCTCATTTTTCAGAAATAAGATTACGAAAACAATGGCGTGATGTATATACTGCAACATGGTCGGTGGTCTTTCGAAATTAGATGCTACAGGTCATTTTGAATTTCGATTGTAACAGAGAAATGCCATCTAATCTTTCCCATATTTTTGAAACCTAGTCTAAATCTGGGAGCTTGAAACCCTTTTCCCAAAATAAATAAAGTCAAGACTATTCATAATGAATAATTTACTCCATAATTAATAATATAATTGATATTGATCCATGATTAATAAATAATTAATTCAATGATGGAAATAATGATTAATAATTAACTCCATGATTAAGAAATACATAAATAAACTTGTTACAAGGAGTACTTTTTACTTGCTCGACACTCTCACAAACGTCACACGAAACAGACAAGCTACCCAATATGTATTCAAGGACATTTACTGTGTCCTTGGATATTCTGACTAGGAAACGTTAATTGAAAAATACACCAGTCCGAGTCATATTTGAATATTTTAGTATGATATATCAAATTTTTTGTGTAAATTTCTCAGTTATTTTATAGTAATTATTATATTACAAAGCATTAGTAAGCAAATAATAATTCATGCTTCAGATTTAAATCTTTTGAAAGATGCAGGCCTCAGCGATTGAATATACTTTCAGATATATTAGCGTAAAATATTTCATTGCATGCAAAAAGATTTTTGTGCTATGCAGAACGTTAGAAAAACATAATAGGAAAAAAATGATAAAAAAATAGAAATAAAATCAATTCATATAATACTACCTTCTTTGTCTCCCATTCGGTCAGCTAAAAATAAATAACAAAATAAATATATTAATATTTTTCAGTATCAATTATAAATATTAATAGTTTTTGTAAATTCACAAATGGAAATAACATAAATTTAAGTCGTAATATACCTGCAATAAATATGACATAAATAAATGACCTGCACAAATATACCTGCACAAAGGTTTAATGTTACTCACATGTTCCTTTCCACATGCAGTATACGCAATACAGAGCAATTATTCCAGCACTGTAGGATTTAGTTTTTAGAGCCACAATAATAGTGGTAGTATGGCGATATGATTGTCAAGCATTAATTACATTTTAAACAATGTGGAAAATTTTTCTGGTACTTATACGACAATAATAAACATTTGGTTTTAATACACGCTCGATTTTAATTGAATGCCTTCCTTTAATAATCGAATTGTACCACTATCAGTGCTTAAAATAATCTAACAAAATTTTGTCTTATTCTGCCCCTATGCGAAAAAGTTATAAATCAAAAGTAATTTTTTAAGTAATTTTAGAGAGATAAATCCCATGAGACAAAAATTTAGGAAAGTTTAAATTTTTAAAAGGATTCTTAAATTTGAATAATAATAGTTTTTAAGATTTGCTTAAAAGATATTTTTTGCAAGAACTTACCAGGCGAAATTATATGCATCATTTTTTAATTCCCAAAACGGGGCTGGGGTGCCGAGGGAGGTTTTGGAATTCCTCCGACATTATATACCATTTAATCAACTGATTCTCACTGGAATGAAAATTCAATTCTTCAAATGTAATTTTCATCGTTTTCAGGAAATGCGTTTTCAGCTAGTAAATTGCTATTCATAAGGAAGAAAACTCATGACTTAATTTTTGGAAATAAAATAATTTTATATCTACATTTAAGGGCTTGTTACGGTATAATTTCAAAGAATTAATAATACGGTGTGCGTCAGAAACATTGCACAAGTAAATGTCTTTTGAATGTTTGTTTCAAGTTAAAAAAAAATTAATCAAATACGGCAGGGTCCTACTAGTGGCCCGCTGAACACTGGGAGAACGACTCGCGTTTTATCCTAGGCGAACGGGCTGGCTGCATGTTTAGTTTTCGTGATTTTTTCCAAATGTAATATGAATACGAGCCAGTTTCCCTTAGACAGTCCTACACGATGGTATCCTTCCTCGTAGACAGATAGCCCTTGCGTGCTTTGCCATATTCGAATCTCCCCCAATAAGACAAGCCTTCAAACTAAAATAAATCAAAGTTCTTACGTTACAAAAGTCATACAGCAGATTTTTCAGACGAAATAACTTGACCGGCCACGTAAAAAAATAAATAAATAGCCCATAGCCGCATATCATCCCACAGCTGAAGTAATCAGTAGAAAAGAGCCTGCTTATGCGGTAAATATGTGCAAATCTCTACATATAAAAGAGTCTGTCTCATTGTGTCTGTGTGTGTGTCTTTCGTTTGCGCTGCGCGTAAGCTAATAAACCCACGGCTACGAAATTTGGTACATAGCTGCATCTAGACAAGAGCCAATGCACCTCGAAGCGAGTTTTTCGAATTCAAGTTTTTTCTATTTTATGTTTTGTGACAAAATCGCGTCATTTTGAGACATAATGGGCTATAGGAAAGCGAGATTTTACTCTACACACTCCATTTTCACATCGTCATGAAACGTAGGCACTTTTTACGAACTTAAAATAAATTTTGTGTTTCAATAAATCGATTAAATACGAATTTATTTAACAAAGTGAGCTTAACACCTTTTCAACGGGATATTTTCTAAAAAGTTTATTTTTAAAAATGTACAGTTTATTTTTCTTTGATTTTTTGACACGTTAAACTTTCATCCTTGCGACTGCTTTTACAAAAAGAATTTTGGAAAAATGATAATATTTTGTATTAAAAAAAAATTTAAATGAAGCTTCCGAGTACACTTCTCACATCTCACGTCTTTAAAAATGTGATTTTGGCAACAATTTTCCTTTCTTATTATTGTTGACAGATTTTTGATGAAATCGCATCATTTTAAATAGTTTCATTCTTTTAGAAATATGGGTTTGGCAACAATTTTTCATCGTATTTCTTATGTCACTGTTTTTAAGAAATTGGCATATTTCATTGTCATTTTTTTATATATATAATACATTTTTATTGATTTTTTTTATAAAGTTGTTCTGCAGAGTAAAATTCTGCGCGTAATTTTTTGTTTTTTGAGTTTCTTTCATGTTATTTTTTGCTATTTCACTGTTTGTAAGATATTGAAAAGTTTTGCATGATTTTTTTTCTTTCAACGGAAAGTTGGTTAATTTTTTTATTAGTATAATTAATATTTGTATTAAGGGATAAAGCTTATTTCATTGTAATTTTTTTCTCTCGGAAATGTAAGATAAAATATCATTAATTATACTTTGCTTTTCAGAATTTTTTATTTTTTGTTTTCTTTTATGTTATTTATTACTCATTTCACTGTTTTTACGATATTGAAAATATTTCAGTGATTTTTTTTATGAAACAAAGTTCTTAACCTCCTTTGTACCATTTGAGTTCTTAAGATTTTGCAAAGGGAAATTGGTTAATTTATTTACTAGGATAATTAATATTTGCATTAAGGAATATTGCTTATTTCATTGTAATTTTGTTATACGTAAAAACATTTTTATGAAGTTTTTCTGCAGAGTAAAATTCTACCTAGTTTTTAAATTTAACATTTGGTTTCCCTTCAGCCATTCTTCCGGTACATTTAAAAGCCAGACGAAGGCTGGCAGCGAAGCTGCTAGTATTGTATAAAACGCATATGAATTAGAGTTTTCGAATGCGAATTTTTAAAAGATACTTTCTACGTTGGAACAGTGGCGTAGAAAGGAGGGGGCAAGGGGGTGTATGATGCCCCGGGAGCCGCTCACAGAGGGGCGCCAAATGGTCTCCAAACAAGATTTTCATCATATCTCTGTGTTTTTTCGGGGGGGGTTAAGGTATCCCCGGGCGCCAGTTATGCTCCCTACTGCACTCCGTTGGAAAAACAGGAAATTAGAAACATTACTTTAAATTACCTTCTGTTTAAATGTCAAAATTCAAAATTTTGCATTTTAACCAAATAACTTATATATTGATATCGCTTTCATCACATGAAAATGGTTAATCATATAGTTTGGAAAATCTTTCCAACAAATGAAAAATGGTTTCAGTCATAAAATTTTCATAATTTTTATCCCTGAATACTGTCTTCCTCTACACGCCCATGAGAACAATAGGTCTGTTATTACGTTTAAGCTGCTAATGCGTGTCCTCTGGTGGGGAAAAAAAAATACTTTCTGTGCACCACGGCCAAGGCCCGGGAGAGAACATTACATGGCCCGGGAGAGAACATATTAGTCCCTGTTTCTCGAAGATATTTATTGTAGGATTGAGAACAATTTACCAACTGTAATTTTTACTGAAATTAGCAAATAACACCCTTAATTCTTCAATTTGGGTTTGGGTAATCAATCTTTAATTTGGGGGGTTTCCTTTCTCTGTTCTAAAAATAGTAATTAAGTTTTTCTGAACTGTATCATTTATAGATTAATCCATATCATAAGAATTTTACATAACGTTCTGACGAAAACATATTACATCGTTCTAAAATTATTATTACATTGCTTTGAAATTATTATTCAACTTGCATTGCTCTAAAATTATCAAATGATACTAAACTAACCCTTTCTGAAGTAAGATATCATCCTGAACACATCGCACTTCGCTTCTGCACCTTGGCCGAGCTAGACTAATATCTGCTGGTATCTTCTTATCGCAACAATAAAAAAATATAAACATTACATTCTGGAACAGGTACGATTAGTGCGTCAAAATACTTGTAGCCGCAAACTGTTTATCTAAACTAAAAGGAATATTATTTAAATCTGCTACTCTTGCTTCTTACCAGATCGGTTATATTTGCAATTCAGTATGTCATGTCTGCGACATTTCCAAATTATTACACACACACACAAACATATATAATACATGTACATAAACAATAATGATTTTATAAAAAATAACCAGATTGCTTCATTTTTTAGACTTCAGATATTGCGAATAGTATTGTTGAGTGCGTACGGGTTCGTAACAGACGGAATGCACAAGTCCAATAATAGGTTAAAAAAACTATTTTTGTCAAAAGAAATATTTCAGAACTGTAGAATTTTTCACAGAAATATTCGTACAAGTGTTCATAGTATTACTCAGTATAATCAGTAGCTGCACTTCAAACAATGAGAATGTTAAATACAACGCAATGCAAAGCGCATCTAAAGAAAAAGCTAACTCGGATATCTCATTTCAGGCGGAACTAAACAACTCGCAACAACAATAACTAAGCAACTGCGAGCAGATGCTCTCCCTTCGGCCTTAAATAGTTTTCAACCGACCGGGAGATAGTTCTAGTACTTTCTGCTTCTCGAAATTACTGGAAAGTAATACAAGGGTGGAATTACGGTTACAGCTAACATAGTTGTTATTTACATTTATTCAGTTTCAATACATATTACAGTGATACAGATACCAGACGAAATGTCACCAAATTTGGCTATTTTTGAAGATTTCTCGCCAAATTTAGAAGCAAAATAAGTCGCCAAAATCGTTATCGCTTGGCGATATCTCGCCAAATTACTGAGGATACCCATTTACTCTATGTTAAAGGCCCTTGCTCCTGTATTCTTACTTTACCGGCATAGCTTTCTCTTAAAATTTGTCTCACGCTACATTACACAAAAAAAATTATAACAATTTTACATGTGATTTCACTAAAATTACCTATCTTAGTACAAGAGTATTCTTCCGCCCCATCCTTTCTTTGAAAAAGTTACTTTGTATAGATTGATTTTTTTACTAAATAAGAAATATTTTAAACTTCAAACATCTCCATGATCAAAGCAAACAAAATATTCAAAGTTTTTTAAAAAAACTTTAGAATATAGAACTAGTTTACTCTGGTAATATAAGCACATTCATTATTCAACTTCTGCCCTTTTTATGCATT